CAAGGCCTGGGAGAGTTTCTCTTGATCCTTTGACTCCAGAAATGGATCCCAAATCTACCTCTCACTCAAGTTCTAGGTTTTAATTGCTCCGTCACCCTCCCTTTACCTGGAGATATCCATGCTTAGGTCCTGAAATCAGCTCTCTTTCTTTTCTCACTCACTTTTCTCAGTTTCTGTTTCTTTCCCAGTCTCCCTCTGCCTGTTTCTCTGACTCTGTCTGTCTCTAGGCAGGTAGATGGCACTGTGATGTGGAGTCAAGGAGATCTGAGATCACATATGGCCTCAGATTCTGGCTGTGTGTGATGCTGGGCAAGTTGCTTAACTTCTCTTTGCCTCAGTTTTCCCAACTACAAAGTAGGGATAATAATGACAAGTTATTTCTCAGGGTTATGCGGATAAGATGAAATATTATCTGTGAAACACTTAGCACAGTGCCTGGCACCTGGTGGGTGCTAAACAAATGCATGCTCTTCCTTCCTTCCTTCCTTCCTTCCTTCCTTCCTTCCTTCCTTCCTTCCTTCCTTCCTTCCTTCCTTCCTTCCTTCCTTCCTTCCTTCCTTCCTTCCTTCCTTCCTTCCTTCCTTCCTTCCTTCCTTCCTTCCTTCCTTCCTTCCTTCCTTCCTTCCTTCCTTCCTTCCTTCCTTCCTTCCTTTCTTCCTTTCCCTCTCATTGTAAGGTTATCTCCATTCTGGCTGATCTATCAGAAATGAAGTTCTAACCAGTCAGATCCAATCAGCAGATTTGACCTTTTGATGGCATATTGCCTCTTTCACCTGTTCTCTACTTCAATCTCTGGCCACAGGCAAAGGCCCATATGCTTTATGATTTTTTTGCTTCCCGTAGTTTGGTTTCTTAAATGTTGCTTCCCAAAAGGACCACTGTCCCAAACTAACTTATTTTCTAGTTCTGACCCTGTGCACCTTTGTGGTCCTTCTCTAGCACCCCTGTTCACTGAGTTGAGTTGTGAGACATATCCCAGAGCAAAGGTTCTTAACCATTTTTGTGCCATGGACCCCTTTGGCAGCCTGGTGAAACCTATGGAACCCTTCTCACAATAATTTTTTTTTGCACAAAATACATAGAATTACAAAGGGAACCAATTATGTTGAAATATAATTAGCAAAACATTAAAAAAACATAAGCCCCAGTTTAAGAACATTTGTTTAGATAATGGATACTTTTCCTTGCTTGAAACTATGGGATCCAACTTCTTTTAGGAGGACAAGTAATTGTGAAGGCTTGTGCCTCTTCTCTAGGAAGTGTGTATGTGTATTTGTAATGATTACAAACATAATTCATAGACCTACAGCAATGTTAACATAATTTCACTGCCGCCCTTTTATAATTTGACAACCTTATTATAGCCACATGGACAATTTCTGAGTTTTATGGTCAAGGTTTTGAATATTTGTAATGTGTTCTGGGAACTCACCATGATGACACTTTGTTCAACTGGGGGCCATGAGATGCAGAGCTCCTTGTGGAGATAGGGTATGGATAGCATGGGGTTGCCTGTTAATTTTCTCTATGAGGGCTGTTAATGCTAGGGCATCCTTGGGAAGGCTGTCGACTTCATCACCTCCCAGCTTAGACTATTATCTCCTTGTCTAGATATTTACCTCTCCTACACTGAAAGGATGGGAAAGGGGAAAAAAAAGCCATTGAATCTCAGGGTATGAGAAGAGAAAAGTGGAAGATGAAGAAGGAGAGAAGGTAGAGAAAAAAGCAAGAAGAGCATAGATCTGTATCTCTTATCACCCTTTGCTCTCTTTTTTCTATTGTCAGTATGACTGGGTGAGGAAGTGAAAAATCCATGTAAAAAAGAGGAATATTAGCTGAGAATTTATCTATTTGTGTGCAGTTTGGTATAATGGAAAGAGTACTGACTTTGGACTCAAAGGACTGGGGTTCAAATCCCATCTCTAACACTACCTGTATGATCTTGGGCAACTAATTTAACTATCCTGGGCTTCATTTTCCCCAACTTTAAAATGAGGGGGTGGTCCAGATAGCCTCTGAGGTCCCTCCACTTCTACATCAATGATCCTAGAATCTCTGAAATGAATTAATTCCGCAGAAGTGAAGAGAGCTATCTTAATCATCCACCAAAATGGTCAGGACCATTCCTAACAGTGGATAATCCAAATATCAGTCACATTGGCACTGGGCTATACTCCTATATTTTCATTAGAATGTATTTGTCAGATGTTCTGAGAATTCACTCTACAAATTTAACTGAATAATGAAACTTTAGCCTTAAAATCTGTTCCACATCTTGTCCCATTCCTCAATATCTATCTCCTCGTTCTTCACTGGAAGATTGCCACAGATGGCATCACTTCTCAGACTGATGCAAAGCACCAACCCAATTTGTCTCTTCATGTATGTTATTTCGTGTCCCTTCTCTGTCTCCTTGACCATCCCAGAACTAAAGGATTTAACTAAGCCATAACTGCATTAGCCTAAACTAAGATCCTAAATGTGTAAGTGAAAGAATGAAGTAGTTCACCATATTAAAAAAAACCAGCCCATCCTAAGACACAAAAGGAAAATAACATTTCTAAAAAGCCAAAATATAAATAGTTAACCTGCTGCTATTGGAGAAATCACTGTAAGATCAGAGTCAATATCTTACAATATTTACTGAACCATTCAGTGCCTTTATGTCCTGACTATATTCAGTAGGAAAATATTTGCTATATTCCTTATTCTGACCATTAAATAGCCCTGAATTGTAATCAGAGCAACTTTACTTGACCTGAATGTTAATTACCCTTATTTTCTTTTCTGGCCTTTGTCCAGTTAAGTAGAAAGAGATAGCTTGAATTCCTTATTGGAACTCAGTTATCTCAATATCCTTTGATATTGTTCCCAAACCCATAAAAAGAAAGTAGAGGGCATCCAAACAGATAGTCTTAACCTCTAAGATTTTCTTTGATACCTCTTAAAGAATCTGACAGACTTATTATTTGGTAAGGGCACCCTTTTCCTCTGTTTTATGTGGTAACAAATCATGGCATCCATGACTGTCCATTGTAATTCCAAACTACAAATTGAGCAGGGATGGATTGTGTATCTGGCTTCAGCATTACACTTTCAGTAATAAAGCTGAGCCCCAAAGAAAATGCTGCTAGAGAATCATAGAGTCATAGATGGCAGAGGCTCAGAGATTTGTTCTTATTTGGTGTCCTAGCAGTGCAAAGTAATTTTTATAGCATTTGTTACACTTGTCAATCATCTTAGGTAAACCTCTCTACAACCAGGTCTGTAGTCCCAGATGAGATTCATGTGCGCTTTGAACTCATAGAATTCACCAGTCTAGATTATCCAGGCTAACACTTTTGCCTTTGCTTCAGTTTTCTGACAAGAGTGTTTTGTTGATTTCAATGATCTGAGTGGTTGTAGTTATGTAGACTAGGTCCCAGAATTTCATGGGAAGTTAGGAATTCAGAGTAAGGAGGATATACTTTTAATGTAAACATTTTATGCAGTGTGCGCTAGTAAATGTTTACTAATATATGCATTTCATGCTGGTAAATGTTTAACAACTGGCTCTCTGGAAAGAGAATGTATATACCATACAAATTTAAGTTAAACCTGTATTATTGTTTTTTCATTACTTTCTTAATTATGGACAATCTATAAAAACAATAAATCAAGCTCTGATTTGTGTCATTTGCTGATTTCTGAGGTTTAAATGCTCACACTGAAAATTTCACAATTGGCTCTTGAGAATACCATGATATGAACTGGCTCCAGCAATCCCCACTTTTGTTCTATTGCCAGGGTTCAGGTGTATGGAATACCACTTTTATACTAGTACAATAGGAGCGTAGATTTTTAAGCTGAAAGGGACATCAGAGGACATCTAGTCCAAACTCCTCATTTTACAGATGAAGAAGTCACACAGTTAGTCAAAAGTATTCATGTTTTAAATACAGGTTTTCTGACTCCAAATCTTGTGCTCTTTCCACTACATGACAATGATTTTCAACAGATATTAAAACATAACTGAAACCTGAAATCATAAGAGCTATATTTAAGACTAGAAGAGGTCTTAGAGATCATCTAATACCACCTCCCCCCATTTTACAGGTGGGAGAACTGAGGCCCAGAGAGGTTAAGTAATGTGCCCTAAGTTGCAAAAATAGTAAGTGGCAGAAGTGGGATTTGAACTCAGTTTCTTTGACTCAAGTTAAGTGTCTTTTCCATTGTGTGTTGCTGCCTCCACTCTGTGCTGACCTCATTTGCTAGATATAAAGCACTAATTTAATATGTAACCTAAAATAACTCATTATAGAATTGTACTGTAATGCCCTAACACAAATGGAATCTAGAGAATATACAGTAGCCTTCCTGTAGTAAGGCATTTCTTTAAACTGCATGTAAGCACAGGGCACATAAGTCACATACTTAGAAATATGTCACAAATATTCCCAGCTTAGCTGATTAAATGATCTCTACTGATGTATTTATACCATTTACCTAAACATCTAACCAATGACTTAAAATGCACTAAAAGTATCCCAGTATCATTTATACGCCATCTGTTTTTAGTTTATTAAGTAAAGTTGGGAGGATAACTATTATTTTATTTAAAGGTAGACCACAGACAGTCTGAACTGTGGGAAGTCCTTTTCAAGGGTAAAGCAGAATGTGGAAAATTTTGAAAACTATGAAATGATTGAATAGGATGGCCCAGATTATTACAGAAAATAGTATCACAGACCTCAGAAAGCACAGATGGGAAAAGAAAAAGAGCATACAGGGTATATATCTTAAGAAGATTGCAAACCTCAGCCTCCACAAATAAAAAAAAAACCCTCTTTGCCCCTCTCCAACCCTAGGGCAAAGCAAAAGCAAGTATGTTATAAAATATCATCACAGCATATGGAAACCTGTGCTATTGAATTATCAGCTGCTCAGGATGAGCCTTGAAATTCTCCTATTGTTTAATACATTTGTAGACATATATACATACATACATATATGTTACAGACCTTATCAATGGCTGGCCAATTTGAAGTCTCCAAAAATATGAAAAACTTCAGATGAGCTTTTTCCTCTTCTTCCTAGGAAAGGCTAAAATTTGGCTTGCCTATTTATTAAAATTTGCTTGTTCCGCAGTGAGTTTTGAGCAACTGCGGCCTAGGAGTTGCAACTGTCCTCTCTGAATATGTCATTCTTACCTCTCCCCTCCCCATCTATTTTTGGTAACTGAACTCATGTTTCAGCAGAGGGCCACTATCTGGCATTCCAGTATCAGGGCCCTTAGGCTTGGAAGTAACTCTGAGCTCTGAGAGTGTGTGGTTCTTAGAAACTCAGGGCAGTTGGTGGAGGGAGAAAAGGTCTCTGATGCAAACAAGATAGTATTTAAAACATGTGCTTTTGCATTTTAATCTTGAAGGTTACCTACCACCACCTTTTCATGGAGTTCCTAATTAATGCAAGACACTGCAAGCAATTTGTTAATGTGGGAAAACGGACTCCTTGTAAGGAATTCTCATCTTAACATTTGAGCCCCCAGCTTTCTTCTGCTACCTCAGAAAGGACAAATTTGAACTTTTTTCTTTTACTTATGTGATAATCTACCACAGATTCGTAAATCAGATTTCCTTTAAAAAAAAAGTTGACTTCTTTTCAAATTAAAGCTTAGAAGCCTGACATAGCCTCTTCCTGTAAAGAATGACTGTATTTATAGCTACAGGACCAGAAACACTGAGGAAAATATGAAAAAGTAAGCATTTATAGCGCTTTCAGATTACAGGAGCACTTTATATATTTATTTCATTTAACTCTTAAGAAAACCTTCTGAGCCAGCTAAGTTTGGGCTTCAAAATGACCATGAGCAAATGATGGGTATTTTTGGTAGAGTGAGAGGGGGCATTGTTTTCCCTGTTTTCCAGATGAGCAAGCTGAGGCTCTAGGTTGTTGAGTGACTTCCCTTAGGTCATAATATGAGAAAGAGTTAGAAATAGGTTTAAAATAGAGGTCTCTTCTGACCCCAAGTCAAAAGCTTTTTCTGAATATTAAGAGTAGAGATGCATTCTTTTAAAGGGTCAGATAAGTATTCAACAAGCACACTGAACAATATTTTATAAGAAATGTCATTACCCTTTTATCAGGTGCTTGAACTCAGTTGTTTTCTACATAGTTAAAATAAACAGCTGAGGCAGCCATCCAGATGAATTAATTTAGTTTTCCATTTCATTTTATTTTTATAGACAGAACCAAAAATTAAGTCATGATGGATACTATGACTAACAGCACAAGCCTGACCCATGTGGGTGGGGATTTTTTTTTTTTACATGCAACAGAACTAGGCTGTAAATGAATAAGAGCTGTCATATTGCTATAAAGAGAAAGGCTATTCAGAGGTGGTTTGTGCATTCATCCCTACAGGTGCAAACTGTTTTACAATGATTCTGTTAGTAATTTTGTAAAAGCATGCTAATGCATAAGAGCCAGAAGATAGGCAATATGGTAGTGGAATTATCTCTCCATAGACTTGGAGTAAAGAAGTATCAAGTTTGAATCCTGACTCAGACTTGGTTGTGCGATAGTAGGAAAGTCACAACTTTTCTGGGCTTCAGTTTCCTATTCTGTGAAAAAAAAAGATTGGATTTATGATCTCTAAGGTTCCTATATACTCTTAATAAACTTTTTTTGTAATTACATGTAGAAGCAATTTTTAATATTTATTTAAAAATTTTGAGTTACAACTTCTCTTCCTCCCTCCCTCCTCCTTGAAAAGGAAAGTAACTTGCTAAAGGTTATACATAGGCAGTCATGAAAAACATATTTCCATAATATGTGTGTTGTAAAAGAGAACATAGACAAAAAAAAAAGAAAAGAAAAAGAAAGAAAGTAAGAAATAGTATGCTTTGACTAGCACTCAGACTCCATAAATTTTTTCTCTGGGGATGGATAGCATTTTTCATTATAAATCCTTCAGAATTGTCTTAGATCTGTGTGTTGCTGAGAATTAACTAAGTCATTCACAGCTGATTGTCATTCAGCCTAGGAAAGCCTGCTGTTACTGTGTACAATGTTCTCCTGATTCTGATCACTTTACTTTACATCAGTTCCTGTAAGTTTTTACATATTTTTCTGAAAGCATCCTGCTTGTCATTTATTATAGCATAATGGTATTCCATCACAATGATATGTTAGAACTTGTTCATTCATTCCTCAATTGATGGGCATCACCTCAATTTCCAATTCTTTGCCACCACAAAAAGTACTGCTATTAATATTTTTGTACATATTGGTCATTTACTTTTTTTTTTTAAATCTCTTTGGCATACAGACCAAGTAATGGTATCACTATGTCAAAGGGTATACAAACAAAACAAGAGACAGAGAACGTTATGAAATGTAAAACAGATAATTTTGATTATATTAAATTAAAAAGGTGGTACACAAATAAAACCAATGTAACCAAGATTAGAAGGAAAGCAGAAAACCGGAAAAATTTTTATAGCATGTTATCTCTGACTTCTCATTTCTCAAATATATAGAGAACGGAATCAAATTGATAAGAGTACAAGCCATTGAGAAATGAGGCCTTTCCCTGCCCTCCCCCTCAATTTTATACTTTCCTTCTAATTTTGACTGCATTGATTTTGTTTGTGCAAAAACTTTTCCATCTTTCCTTCTATCACTCTGCCCACCCTTCCACCCCCCCCAGTCAATGTCCCTTTTCTCCCACGCCCTGTAGGGTTAGATAAATTTCTATATTCAATTGAGTGTTTATGTTATTCCCTCTTTGAGCCAATTCAGATGATAATAAATTCAAGGGTTACCCACCATACCCCTCCACCTTCCCCTCCACTGTAAAAGCTCTTTTGTACCACTTTCATGCGAGATAATTTACCCCATTCTACCTTCCCTTTCCCCTTCTTCCAGTGCATCCCTCTTTCTCACCCCTTAATTTTATTTTTTTGGATATCATCCCATCATACTCAACTCACAGCCATGCCCTCTGTCTATGTATATTTCTTCTAACTGCCCCAATAATGATAAAGTCCTTAGGAATTACAAGCATCATCTTCCCATGTAGGAATATGAATAATTTAACCTTATTGATTCCCTTATGATTTCTAGTTCATGTTTATCTTTTCATGTTTCTCTTGAGTCTTATATTTGAAAATCAAAATTTCTGTTCACCTCTGGTCTTCATCGGGTATGACTGAAAATTCTCTATTTCATTAAATATCCATTTCCCCCATGAAGGACTATACTCAGTTTTGCTGGGTGGGTCATCCTTGGTTGTACTCTAACTCCTTTGCCTTCCAGAATATAATACTCTAAGCCCTGTGATTGTTTAATGTAGAAGCTGCTAAACACCGTGTAATCCAGACTGACTCCACAGTATTTGAATTGCTTCTTTCTGGCTGCTTGCAATATTTTGTCCTTGACATGTGAGCACTAAAATTTGGTTATAAAATTCATGGGAGTTTTCATTTTGGGATTTCCTTCAGGAGGTGATTGGTGGCTTCTTTCAATTTCTATTTTACCCACTGGTTCTAGGATATCAGGGCACTTTTTCTTGATAATTTCTTGAAATATGTTGTCTAGGCTCTTTCTTTGATTGTGGCTTTCAGATAGCCCAATAATTCTTGAATTATTTGTCAATCTGTTTTCCAGGTCAGTTGTTTTTTCTAATACAATATTTCACATTTTCTTCTATTTTTTCATTCTTTTGATTTTCTCTTTTATTCTTGATGTCTCAAAAGTCATTAGCCTCCACTTGCCCAATTCTAATTTTTAAGGAATTATTTTCTTCAATGAGCTTTAGTACATCCTTTTCCATTTGGCCAATTCTGCTTTCTAAAAATTTATTTAGTATATTATTTTCCCCCAGTTACATGTAAAAAATTCTTTTAATCTTCATTTTAAAAACTTTGAGTACCAAATTCTCTCCCTTCCTCCTTTCCCAGCCCCTCCGCATTGAGAAGGCAAACAATTTGATGTAGTTTATACATGTGTAGTCATGCAAAATGCTTCCATAATAGTTATTTTGTGAAAAAAAATAGGGAAAAACCTCAAGAAAAATAAATAAAGTAAAAAAAAGTATGCTTCTATCTGCATTTAGACACCATCAGTTCTTTGGGGATGAGTAGCATTTCTCATCCTAAGTCCTTCAGAATCATTGTGTTGCTGAGAATAGCTAAGTCATTCACAGTTGATCATCCTGCAATACTGCTGTTACTTTGTATGCAGAACATTTCAGTTTATATCAGCTCATATAAGTCTTTGCAAGTTTCTTTGAGAATATCCTGCTTATCATTTCCTATAGTATAATAGTATTTAATCATAACCACATACCACAATTTGTTCGGCCATTCCCCAATTGATTTCTAGTTCTTTGCCCCAAGAAAAGAGCACTATATTTTTGTAAATACAGGTCCTTTCCTTTTTTTCAACTTTTTGGGATACAAACCCAGTAGTGGTATTGCTAGGTCAAAGTGTATGCATAGTTTTATAGACCTTTGGGCATAGTTCCAAATTGCTCTACAGAATGGTTGAATCAGTTCAAAACTCCACCAACAATGCATTAATGTTTCATTTCCCCCACATCCCCTCCAGCATTTGTCATTTACCTTTTCTGTCCTATTAGCCAATCTGATAGGTATGAGATAGTATCTCAGCATTGTTTTAATTTGCATTTCTCTAATCAATAGTGAGTTAGAGTATTTTTTTAAAATGGCTATAGATAGCTTTGATTATTTCATTTAAAAACTGATCATATCTTTTGATCATATATCAGTTGGAGAATGGCTCTCATTTTTATAAATTTGACTCAATTCTGTATATGTTTGATGATTGAGGCTTTTATCAGAGAAACTCGCTTCAAAATTTTTTTTCACAGTTACCATTAGTAACTTTATTTCCCTCCATCCTATCCCCCCATTTATTCTATTCTCTCTTTCCTTTCACCCTGTCCCTCCTTAAAAGTGTTTTGCTTCTGACTACCCCTCCCCCCAATTTTCCCTCCTTTCTATCATCCCCCTTCTCTTATCCCCTTCCCCCCTACTTTCCTATAGAATAAGACAGATTTCTATACCCAATTGAGTGTGTATGTTATTCCCTCTTTGAGCCAATTCTGATAAGACAAAGGCTCACTCATTCCCCCTCACCTGCC